AAAGGTTCTCAATGATAAGACTAAACTCAGTCTTCTACGAGTTCCCTACAACAGTCAAAATCCTTATCAAGTCATAGCATATTTAATTATTACTTCCTATGTTTATCGTAACGGTATTTTGAAAAATATTATTTTTTTTTGTATTGGAAGTATTTTTTGTTTATGTTATTGCAGTGTAAAAAAAATTGTAATTAATATGGAGTTGTGAAAATTTAAACAAAAAAAAAAACAAACAAAAAAAACATAAAAATTAAATGCTGATAGATATTTATTTCAAAAACATTCATCATTTTCAAATCTTTCATTATAGATTTAGAATGTTCACGATTATTTTTATAGTAAATGATTCTGCACGCAAGATTTTGTAGACTATAAAATTTTTTAAGTTTTGATGGTAGTATACTTGCCCATGATATGTTTGCATAGCCGATGAAGTAATGAATTAGTTCAAAGTAAATTAGTTTAAGACTTTGTTTATTAATATATGAGCGAACTTCATAAAAATTATATCAGTGATTTTAGATTAAATATATCTTATTTGAGGAAGCCAGTATAACTTCTCATCAACAGAAACTCCTAAGAATCTAATACTAGCTTGTTTTTTGATTAAGTTATCATTTAATATAAGGTCAGGCAACTTAAGAGGAAGGTTTTTTTTCTTGAAAACCTTTTTCTTAAGTTGCCTGAATCATTTATATAAATAAAAAAACAGTTAAGTGCAAAAATCATATATATAAATTAAAAACAGGAGTGGACCAAGGATAAGTCTTTGTGGGACTCCACATAAAACATTTAATTTTCCAGATTGTATATTACACACATATTGTTTTTTTTTTTGGTAAGAAAATCAACTATATCAAAAGTTTATAAAAACTCTTAAAATTAACAAAAGTCTATAAAAACTCTTAAAATAAATTTGTTTTGTTAAAAGCCATCAGTGATTTGATTAACTAATTCAACGATTGCATGCTCTGTTAAAAAGTTTTTTTTGAAATCCAAACTGGTTTGGGTAAAGTAATTTGTTTTTATTGAAGTGATTATAGATTCTATTATAAGTTACACGTTCGAAAAGTTTTGAAAATACAGAAATTATTGATATAAGTCTATAGTTGGTTATGCCCGAATGTTCATTACATTTAAATACAGGGATTACATTTTGCTAGCTCAAGGACATCAGGGAAAGTCCCAGATGTTATTGAGAGCTTGAGTATATGAATCAGAGGTCTGCTCAGACTAGTTTTATTAAATATAACTAAATTACTAGTTATTTTGTCAAATACTGGTGCTTTCTTTTTTTTAAAGAAGAAAAGGTTTCTTCAAATTCTTCATAGTTGAATTCCTTATCGTACATTATAGCGTTATTTGTGGGTTTTAAGTATTTTTAAATGAGTCAGATGTTGGCTTCAAATCCATAAATTCCTAATACAAAAAATGTTTTATGGTTGTTTTTTTTTTTTTTTTGTTTCATGGAGAAATATTTACATATTTAAAACTTGAACAAAAAATATTTTAAAAACTAAAAAAAAATTGATTTTTATGGAGAAAAAAAAAACGTTTACTTTTACTTTTTTTTTAGTAACGATTGATAAAGGTGTTAAGAAAATCAAACTAAATTAATAAAAAAATAAAATGAAAACTAAAATGTTAATCTTATTAGAAGTTAAGTTTAAAATAATACTACTTTAATCAAATATATGAAAAAAAACAACTATTTAATAATGAATAAATTTTGAATTGTTTCATATTCAGAAGCAGGTTTGACGCATATTTTATGCAAAAAAACTCAACATATTTTTATTTTTTGTGTAAACACAATCGGCAAACTTAAGACTTGCAACTAAAAGCTTCACATTGGTACCACATGTTGTTTTGAGTTGGCAATGTCTCTTCTGAACTCTGCAATATTTTTTGCACATCTTTATGCCTTTGTTTTGTCTCGGTTTGTTTGAATGCTGCACTTGCTGAGTTTCAGCTGAAACATCGTTGAAGTCAATGATGCTTCAGCTGAAACTCAGTCAAAATCTTGCGTTTCTTCAATTGCTTTGACTTTTTAGCCTCGTCGTCTTGATTTAGTTTTTCAAGCTCTTAGATGTACTAAAAAACTGGTGTTTTTAAAATGTTAAATTTTTAAAAATGATGACGTTGTAAAACATCTTTCAAATTATCTTCGAGTCTGTGAAGTGTTGCTGCATTTGATACATTTGAGCAGGAGTTATTGATGTTGTTCTCAAATTTGGAAGTTTTTGAATTTTTAAAGTTTGATGCTGCCTGATGTTAGGCGATAATATAGACTGAGATGAGCATGACGAAGCAGGCATGGTTGAGGATAATGAAACACACTGAAATGACACTTGAAATTTTTCAGCAACTTATAATCTTGATTAACTTTGTAATATAAGCAGAAACAAACAAAACCAGTTTTTTGAAATTTATTTGTCTTGTCCCGATTATTTGTCTCTGTGCAATTGCGTCACTAAAGTTTGTACAATTGCGTCACTGAAGGACTTTGATTTATTGATACCAGATGAGCCCCAACTATTACAATGACACCGTCTAACGTTTTGTTGTATCCCAATCGGCTTAACTGATTAGTACTAAAGCAAGTTCAAAATCAAACGCTTTACTTACACAGTAGTTATATCTTTTTCATGTGGTTGGACTTTGTTGGGCACGCGCTTCTAAAGAGTTGTCTTCAGTATGTTGTATGCCTCTGAAGCTTTACTGAGTCATAATTTGCCTTTTTTGATTTGTTCTGCGGCAAGTTTCGATTGCTCTTGAGTGTAATATTGAAATATAAAACTTGGTTGTTGTGTGAAAACTTATGAAACAAAGATGTGAATATATCATGTAAAATGCTAGAGTATTCTTTGATGTCAAGTAGATTTTAGATAAAGTGTCTTTTTAATTGATAATTATTATATATATGGATTTTTTTTTTTTGTCCGGAAAGTGTAGCTATAATATGTTTATCAGTAGAGTTTATGTTATCAGTAGAATTTGTAAAAGACAGGTTCTCATTCAGTTAAAAAACAAAAAACTTCTTAATTTCAATGTTGGGTTTATGCAAGAAAATTATAAGCTTTAGTGCATAGAATTAAGTATAAAGTTATTTAATACGTTGAAAACGTATGATTAAACTTTAGATGCTGCTGTTTAGATAAAAAAAAGGAAATTGATTTCTAAAAATTCAAAACAAAAGGCTTGTACTACTTTTTTCAATTTTTCTTCAAGAAACGGTTTATTTTATGACGCTTTAACTGTTAAATATAATTAAATATCTTGCAAGTGAAGTCGAGCAAATGCTGCTGGCAGCATTCAATCGATATCTGTGTTGATTCTTATAGTGCATAGGAGCTTTTCATGAAACAAAAACTTTATGATGAAGAGATAGCTGATGTATTTTGACTGTTTTGAAATAATTTTCTTTATCTTTAAAAACTGTCAGAGAGGTCAGTGCGTTTGGCGTTTGTCTTGGGATTACCCGAGATTTTATTATAAAGACTTTGAGCAGTGATAGACCCAATCAATAACATATTAATTAAATTAAGAGCTGCTTTAAAAAGCGTATGAAATGATAACAGTAATGCTATTGGCACTGTGTCTCAGCATTATGCTACAAAATTTTCTTTAGTATGTTAAAACTGCAGAGAATAACACCACATTTCAAAGAGCTGTTTGAACTTATCTCTAAAGAAAATTGTTTGGCATTTCAAATGTGATGACGTAGAACATATGGCTTCAAGATGCCTAAAGATCAAGAAAAATAAGCGCAGAAGCGAGGAAGCGCATTAAATATTATTTGTTTGAAAGTAAATGGTATGGTGCCGATAGCTATAGTGGACACGTGACGTGCAAAGACAACTTTAAATTACATATTTTTGTCCAAAAATAAAAACAAAATTTTGAAGAATAATGATTTCAATGTAAGTGAGCAATTCATTTTGGTAAATTTTTTACTGCTTGGACATGATATGCTCAAAAACAGTTCAATTAAATTGTCGGGAAGAGTTTTTTTTCTTTATCAGGATTGGAAAAGTTTGGAACCAGGTTTTGCGGAATGGTAATATCAAATAATAGTTATTCGTGAATTTCAAAAGCGTGATGGAACTTTCAAAAGCATTTAAAGAAATAAAGATAGTAAAGTTCAACTTGTTTTGGATTTGGGAGAAGCAAACAATTTTATTAAGGCGTATACAAGAAATAGATGTGTTCGCTGATAAGTTGGGAGAACAGAGAAAATTGGGAAACAAACAAGCAATAATGCGATCTACACAAGGCTTACCATCAGTTAAAAACTGAGAAATACCGTTAACCGTTCCAAACTGTGGTATTTTGCAACAAAAGGTATTATTTAACATGACATGATTTTGGATTGAATGTTGCGCCAATAATTATGAATTACGTTGTAAACCTCATTATTAACCTACTTTTTTAAAAACAAAAAATGATTCCTATTAAATCTTTTGTGTTTTTTAGATTATAAAAAAAACAAAATTTTGATTTATAAGTCATGGAGGATGTCTAAAGATACTAATCCAATCTTTGTAAAGTTGAAAATATTGACAAATACTTTTAGATAATACTAAAAGTTATATAAAAGTGTGCATCAAATACGTGACAACAAAAAAAAATCTTTCAACTGATGATGTGCCAATGTATTTGACGCACATCAAAATTTAATACCCGTCACAAAGTTCACAAATATTAGTGAAGAAAAGTTGTCATTCGAGCTTAAAAGTTTGAATCATTTAAAGATAAAGATTTTAGTTACTTTTAAACAGTTAAAATAATTAAATAACTACAGGTAATATGAAAAATGACTTTTTCTATATTCTATATGCACTTTATCTACCCTGTGCAGAGCCATCTACAGAATGCTTTGAAATGAGAGGACACAATGTGGAGACTTGCAGAAATTCAGAATATATATAAAGAGTGTAAGCGTTTAACTTTTCTTTGAACACTTGGATAAACAATAAAATAATCAAATAGAACCATACTTTAAAAATCAATTTTCCACCATTGATCACAAATACCCAACAAAGTACTCTTTTCAAAACTTTAACATTCCAAAAACATTCTTAAAATAACTGATTTCTCTATCTTATCTCGAAGACCGCAGCTATGGAGTTCGATCTTTCCTTTTCCTTCTCGAATTTCCGCGGCTATGGAGATCGATCCTTAAAGAAGAAATAAAAAACATGAAGTCATCATATCTTTTTAAAGAAGCTGTTAAACAGCACCTCTTTAACTTAAAAGACGTCAACATACTCTCCTACTTTTAGAGATCAAATTAATAAAAATAAAACCGAACTTATCCTTTTTGGATGACCACAAACAATGATTATATCACAATAAAACATAGTTTTTCTTTGCTATACCCATCTATCAGATCGTTACATACAAGGCTATGTATTGGCTATGTAATTTTTATCTAATTTATAAATGTATACATGAATTAAAGTTAATTGTATTTAAAATATATAGTGACTAAATAAATAATAAAAAAACTATAGTAGACAATCAATACATTCAGATCAAAAAAGCGGAAAAAAGGGCATTCTTTGTTGGTCTTGAAGGAAATTTACGCGCCACTTTCAAATTTTAACTGTCATACTTATGTGCAAAAATTCAATATGAGTATTACAAAAATGAATTTTAAATCCATACTTCAGGTTACACTAAAAGTTAAACTACTGTCATAAATATCTTAACTATTGTAACATTTCACACATGAGTGGAACTTTATACGTTTGTGAAAAATGATGACACTGATATAAAAAAAAGTTATTAGAATTGTTTCTTTCTGTTTTTTTTTTTTGTTTTTTTGTTTTTTTTAATGCTTTTGTTAGAGATTAAATGTTATTATTTCATTAGTTAACTTATCTATGCATTTAATGACCAAATACGTTTTTTATTTAGGTAAATATTTTTGGTTCAAAAGTTTAGTTATTTCTTAATTTTTTTGTTGGCACAATGAGTATTTTATCTATATATTATTTTATGTATATATTATTATAGTTTTAAATATTATTATAGCTTTGATGACCATTTCAAAATAATGTCGTAGTTATTTTTTCTTTCTATTCCTAATTTCTTTTGAATACTTTTTATTTTTTAAGGGTAACTCATGATTGCCGAAACACTTATTCCATTCACTCTCAGTTAAACCAAAATATTGTTTATGAGGTATTTTTTCAGAAGAAAAACACATTTATATAATTTTATCATTTTTTTTATATATTATATTATTTTTTGATAAACATTTTCTACTCTATTTAGCAATTTTAGTTTTTATATAAAAGCATTAATATAGCCGTTTATAATAATTAACTTTAATTATATTCCTATTAAAAATGTTATACAATTTATAATATATATATATATATATATATATATATATATATATATATATATATATATATATATATATATATATATATATATATATATATATATATATATATATATATATATAATATATATATATATATATATATATACATATATATATATATAGATATATATATATATATATATATATATATATATATATATATATATATATATATATATATATATATATATATATATATATATATATATATATATATATATATATATATATATATGTATATATATATATATATATATATATATATATATATATATATATATATATATATATATATATATATATATATATATATATATATATATATATATATATATATATATATATATATATATATATATATATATATATATAATAAATTGTGTGTGTGTGAGTGTGTGTGTAATTCTGAGCATTATGTATTTGAGTTTTAGACCATATTTCTTTTATTTTCATCTATTAAGTTATATTTTTTGCCTATTTAAATTTATTTCTCGGTAATATTTGCTAAAATATGTCTAAATTAATTACTTAGATAATAAAACATATTTGGTTGAGATATAAAGATCTGTGTCATATAATAGATGCTGAAAATACGCCTTTTTTTTTTTTTATGCTACATATTTATAATCTAATTGTTCTAAATTCATAATTCATTTTTTATTAAACCAATTCGAAATCCTTATATTATAAATTAAAGTATTTAACTTTTAAACTGTGTCTGTAATCTAAAATTGGAAAAAATAAACTTTAAACTTAAAGAAATGCGTTTGACGTCATGTGTTTGATGAGTTTTTGTATGGAAAAAATTACTGTTTAAATAAATTTTATTAGTTCAAAAAAAGGTTTAAAAATATTTTTTTCAAATTACACAAAAAAAGAGAGTATCATTTGTTTTAAAACTTTATTAGATTTTTTTTTTTTTTATTCAAGTTTTTATAATTTTTTTGTTTAACAAAAATAATCTACATGCATATATATTCAAGAAAAAAAAAATAAATGTCCGTAAAAACCAAGAAGATAGTAAAATTTTGTCGACAAGCACCGTTTTTATATACAAAATATAATATATAATTTTTTCTTATTACAATGATCTTTATAAAATAAAGAATTAAACAGACAGGTGCTCAAAGAAGATATAGATTCATCGCAATCTTTTCATAGAGCCCCTAAATATACTTTAAACAGTATATAGATATTATATTAAGAACCCAAATGGGTATAAAACCGCTGCGCTGATTAGTAAATCAAACAAAGATAAAAAAATGAGGAAATAAAGATAAAAAAATAAAAAAATAAAGATAAAAAAATATGAAAATAAAGATAAAAAAAATGTGAAAAAAGAATCACATAAAATCAGAGTTACTCAACCTTTAAAAATTTCATTTTTGATTTGAAACTTAAATGACCTTAGTGACTTTGTCGTACATTTAAATTCTTTTTGTTAGATATTCCATATATATGGAGCTCGATATGCATTGCTATATTCATTATATTTATTAACATTTTGGCGCAGTTTTAATGTCTTATTATATTTATTATTATATTTGCTCCTAGATAATAGTTTTCATTTTTATTTATTTCAAACTTGTTTAGGTTATTAGGAGAGAGATTATTGATTATTGACTTTAGATATTATTTTAGGAGATTAATGTTGAATAGATACATAAAAGTTAAATGCTGATAGATGTTTATTTTAAAAATATCCATCTTTTTTATATCATTCATTATATTTTTAGTATGTTTACGCTTAAATTTAGTGTAAATGATTCTGAACATGTTTTTGAAAGCTATAACTTTTTTAAATTTTGAAAGTTGAGTACTTACTCATGATATATTTGCGTAATTGATGAAGCAATAAATTAATTTAAAATATTAGTATGAGACTTTGTTATTGATTTACGAACAAACTCGATACATCATACCAATTATTTTAATGATCTTAGTTTAAATATATCTTATTAGAAAAAGATAGGAAAAATTCTCATAAACAAAAATTCCTAAGAGTCTTATACTGGCTCGTTTTTTTAACTAACTTGCCTAATTTGTTTCCAATTTGGCCTTTTGTAACCTTCAAAAAGTTTCTTTAAACCACCTTTTAGGTCTCTAAAAACTATCAACTACTCCTTTTCCATGTTGTTATGCTGAGAAGTTCCATTCAATACTTTTTTAAAAACTTTGATTTGCACTTCTGTGATAAAGTGCATAATAAACTTGCTTTTAAATTGACTGCTAGTATTCTTGGAGTGGACACTTATATTTGTTACTGTTTCCAGAAAGATTTTAACAATTTTTTTGCAAATAGAGCGACAAACAATTTGTCATATGTGCTAATATTTATTACATAATTTTACAAATTTTAACTAAATTATTGCTGTAAAAACTGTTGCTTGCGCATAACAATGGGTCATAACGTGTTAAAAAGCAATAAATGAATTAATCTTGAAGGCGCTTTCAATGTCATTTTTGTTACACGCCTATTGATGTTTTTGCACATAAGTATGCCAAATAAAAATTGACAGTGACGCATATATTTCCTTCAAGAGGCAACGAAGAGTGCCCTTTTCCACCCTTTTGATCTGAATGTATTGATTATCTTCAATAGTTCTGTTTAATTTTTATCCAACTGTTCAAAGAAATATCAAAGCTAAATTGACCCCTTATAGACCTAATATATGTTCTCAAATTTTGAAAGCCTCCACATTATGCGCACTCATTTTTATACATTCTGTAGATGGCACTCCACAGAGGATATAAAACACATCTATTGTTATTCAAATAATTTTTTTAAAACAAACAAAATTTTCTTTTAATAAACCTTTTTTTTAAATAATGCGTAACCCATTAAGATTACATAAAGTTAAAAAAAAATTAAGATGAACATCACTTCAGATGGATATGTATTAATAAAATTAGGCTATAACATCAGCAAAACACTTTCATAAAATCCTTCATGGATTTCAGAACTATAACAACATCCTATGCGCTATTCTTTCTTTAATAAAATCATTGCGTCTCTGAAACCCACAAACGAAAGTTACTGCTCCATTCACTTGCCTTAAAACTCTTTCAAAAGACAGGGAGTGGAGAAGCAACTGACGTACTGTCATAAGGCAAACTTTTTATAACGTCTTTAAATATTTTTTTGTATGTTAATTGTGAAATTCAAGTTTAGTTCATTACTCCATAACATTATAATGTAAAAAAAAACATAAACTCATAACAGTTGAGTGTATGTTTTTTTGGTATTAGATTAAGTATTTTGAAATATTTTAAAATTTGCATTTTTTTCAAATTAATTTTTTTAATTTGCATTTAAGTGCTTTTGCTTCACAAATTTTATGCAAGTTTTGTTGATTAACAGGCAATTTTGTAAAATGTTTTATATAATAAATGATAAACACAGCAATGGTAAATAATGCAAGTAATATTATTTCACTAACTCTGTTTTATTTGTTTTTATATCTCGCATTATAAAGTGCCTACTACAAATTTTAAAAGAAATATTTAGTGACAAGAATAGTAACGTAAAGTTTAGAATGTCGTCATCAGTGATTTTCGCATTTTTTTGATTGTCGAAAAACGGAATAAGGAATACTATTGCAAGCAAATATAGCAAAAAGTGTTTTGAAAACAAAACTGTTTGCGACACTATTTCTATCTTTATTTACGACACCATTGTTTTTAAACAATTTGCGACTCTAATCTTCTTTTTTTTGCCGAATTAGGCCTTTTTAATATATTCTACACTACTCCAAAGTTCATTTTTTGATTCACTTATT